CCTTCTTTCCTGTTAACCATCTATCGTCCTCTTATTTACTCCTTCTTTTCTTTGTACGTTACTCTCTAGCAACACCTCTAGATCTTAGGCACTTATATTGATCAATTTGTTTTAAGTGCCGTAAAGTTCTTCTAAAAGTAAACGATTCGTTCACGGGGCATCGTAGTATGAACATTACAGCCTGTGAAAAAACTATCAAATTTGTTTTGTCTTGATTTAGATGAAAAGAAAATCCACAAAACCTTTACATCTTCGTTGTTTGTTTATGCATGCGCTAAGAAAAAATAAAAACCATTTAGAAATTCGATATGATTAACGCATGATGCTGTCTAATAAATAAATAACAAGTATCATAAACTGAAAATGTCACTATCTTGCTCGTATAAGTTAAGATCGTTGAAGCCGCAAACCATCCCAAAACCCTCTAATGCTAAAAACAACAAGGAAATAAGTTGAATTCTTTTCGAAGCAACATCAACAGCAAAGAACAAATATGACGCAGCCCGCTGCCCGCTATTATTTGAAGGGAATCATGGGCGACGAGGGATATGACAACATCATCACAATAGATTTGGTCAAATCTGTGTTAAAAACCACCAACAACACAACGCCAGGTCCAGATGGGATACAGTACAAACACTTTAATGAGCTCAGTGGCGAGGAACTGGAAAAATTGTGGATGACTACAACAACAGCATCAGGACATCAACTGTACCAGAAGAGTGGCTGCACAGTTATTTAAAGCCACTACCAAAACCTGGGAAGAATCACAATGAACTCAACGGATACCGCATTATCACTATGCAAAATGTGTATGGAAAAGTGCTAGAAACTACATAGCAAGAATACTTATGAATTAGCTAGAGAACAACGGGAACCTACCTAAGGAGTTAGGGAGTTACAGACCCAGAAAGTAAACTACGAACAACGTAGGAACCTTCGCGTATGATGTATATGAAGGCTCTCAGAGAAGAGAAGAGACCGTGGCAATAGCTTTAGATCTGGAAGATGCTTACAATCATGTCAATTATGAGAGGCTAATGTGTGCTCTGCTAGATTGTGACGTGAATCCGTGGATTGTTGGGTGGATTGCAAGGACAATGCTAGAAAGAAAAGTGGCTTTGCCATGTGGTCAATGGATTTCAAGGCCACAAGTGATAAGACTAGGACTCCCACAGGGCTCACCCTTATAGCCCATACTCTTCAATGTTTACACTGCTCATATTGCAACGCTGAACAGCGTTGGGCCAGGGAGAATACTAACATTTGCAGATGACATCTTGGCCAACAGGCAAAGACGGGATCGGCAGAAAATGACATATGAATTACAGCAAGAGGTTGAGAAAATCATGAAGTGGTGTGCTGAATCGACCGCAGTGATCAATCCTCAGAAGGCTGCAGCACCGTGGAGCTCTTTAAACAATCAAATAGTAAAGACAGATGTCCCAGAGCTGACGGTAAATGGACAGATTATTCAAAGATGTCAGAAGATGCGGTATCTGGGAGTGGTTTTCGATCGCTGTCTATCCTTCAAAGATCACATAGATGGTGTTGTGGAAAGGGCAAAGAAGGGCTTGAATGCAGTTAAGGTCATGGAGGCTTTAGGAATGGAACAAAGGCTACTGCTTCTTATGTATCAGCAGCTGGTCTTAGCAGTAATCGATTATGGGCTCGGAGTATTGACCTTGACAAAAACCTAACTGGGAAAGTTGGATCCAGTACAAAATGAAGCCATGCGCATCATACTAGGCTGCACCAGGGATACGCCAATTGTCTGTATGAGGCATGTAATGGGCCTCATGTCAGTGGAAAACAAACACAATGTGGCTCAGGTCAGGGCGTACATGAGAGTGGCGGCGGATAAGCAACACCCACTTCACGAAGGCATTGGAGCAATCAAGGGAAATCGCCTAAAACGAGGAGCTTCTTGGATGGTCGAGGCTGAAAACACCATCAAGGTAGTCAGCCCACTGGAAGATATAAAGCGGGGTAAAAAATGCATAAAGATGAATGAGAGACAGCAGGGAGATTTTGGGAATGTAGTGATTACGCTGAACAGAGAATGTAGAGAGTGGCCGCAGGGGGCGACAGATGCTGAGATACGACAACTGGTTGAAGAAAACTCGCGGCACGGAGATGTGGTTGTATACACGGATGGATCTGTTAAACGAGGGGAAAAATCTGGATGGGGCTTCTCAGCAAGAGTGAGTGGCAGATTGGTGCAGGAACAGCAGAGAGCATACGATATGACAACATATAGCTTGAAAATGGAGATAGAGGCAATCACTCAGGCTTTCAAATGGGTTACAACAACTCGACATGCACATGTGATCTTTGTCACAGGATCTCAGAGCACTCTAAGAAAGATTGAAGGTGGGAACCTTTGAGCTAAATGGACAGAGCTCCTGAAGAGGACGGCACTGAAAAAGATCACGTGGATCTTCACCCGGGGCCATGCTGGGGTCAAGGGCAAGGAGCGGAATCAAACATTGCTTGGAACCTTCAGCATCTACATACTTCGAGATGTGCTTCATCAGGGGATGGAGCGCTTATGGGGATGCCCCTTGTGCAGTAATGTCGGTCATTCACACAAGTAACCAAGTAACAAGATCCTCGATCTTCCAAAAGAGACAGAGCCGCTGGAAAGTCGGTCATTTCGCATCCCTTTGGAACTCTGAATGCTTTTTCTTTCCAACGTTTTGACGCATAGGTTTGGGGTTCGAATGTGAGTGAGGTCCAGTATATCATTTTTCTTTCCCTATCACTAGATTTCTCCTCACCCTAGTGTCCTAGATAGGACCAGGTGTCTTGCCTTGGAAACGACACACACCAAGCGCTAACAGCGGCATGTGACTTTTCTTTCGAGCTCTCCCACCACATAAAAAACGAACAAATCTCAATAACACAAAAACAAAAACAACGTTATATTTTCAAAGCAACGACAAATAAAACAATAGCATTAGTCCTGTGTCTGTATTGTCAACCGTCTGTTTGGTTCAGAATTAACCATAGTCCACTGTTATTCATCGACGTTCTCCTTTCTTTGGAACTTGTTGGTTAAAGACGAAAATTGTTTAAGATAAGATAAGATAAAACAAGACAATATAAGATAAGATAAAATAAGATAAGATAAGATCAGTCTTCATCATCCAGCTGTTGACCCATTGCTTTGGTGTCAACCCGCCCCCCCCCCTCTCTCTCTCTCTCTCTCTCTCTCTCTCTCTCTCTCTCTCTCTCTCTCTCTCTCTCTCTCTCTCTCTCTCTCTCACACACACACACACACACACACACACACACACACACACACACACATAAGCGCTCACACCCATACAGACGCACTCTCTCACACATCCACTCTTCTTCATACGCTCTTGATATTATGTTTGCATTCACAAATTATAGACCCACAGTCACATACGTATGACAATAACAGTGACAATGACAATCTTTATTCATCTTGTAGGTAGAAATGTGTCTTGGTCGTTAACGATGGGAGTGGGTGTTACACTTGCTGGTAACAATAATAATATTCAGGATAGATATATAATTTGATCTAATCCAATAATATTCTCGAGTGTCCTGCGTGCGACAGCGACACCTAACCGTTACACCACAGACTACACCAGTCGTCCATCTGCTGTCAGTCACCTACTTCGGACTCATGAGGGTAGATCCTTTTCAATTATTGATATATCTTCCAGCAGTCCCATTCCAATGTGCATGGGCTTGTGCATTGACGTTAATTCAAGGACCATTGTATCGCATTCAATTCCCAATTTTTATATGCTAACCACCTGTCTATTGCGGCTACAAAGGATCGCAGCAATTCATTTGAATGCGGAGGCCTTACGCACGTTTATCACTATTGACTGACTAATGTGTCAAAATGTGCTCACGATGAGCTCAGTGTACTCTAAATTCGAGACTCTAGGTGCTTAGATTTAATAAGAGTTTTACGGCACTTGCAACACAGTAAGGACGTACGAGGGCCGAAGATACTAGAGGTGTAACACGAGAGCAACAAGAAAAAAAAAGAAAGAGAACCCGCCAACCACCCACGATACTAGTATGCAGCCTTTATGAGTTATTTAACTGGGCATCCACTTAAATCTGTTCTTTCCTTACTATTTTAAAGAATGTAATGTTAAGAGACTCGTTTCGAGAACGTCTGCGCTGAACGTACACAAGCTTATGATGTGAGTCACACGCTCTGGTTTATTGGCCTTATCATTCTTTTCCCCTCTTAATTATTTACAGAGATCGTTGGCAATGGAATTAATTAGCGAGTCCAACAAGAATTAATCACGAGGACTTTCGAAGAAATCAATTATTAGATTTGGCAGGTCACGTCACCCATAAGTACAAACCCATTCTTTTTATTGAAAGCATATTATTTTCTTTTGCGGGTATCTGGTCTCCAAAAAAAGGTCAGCATGAGCTTTGATTATAAATAGTTATTTGATTTATGGATATATTCCCTAGGAGTTTGTACAAACAACCTGTAAACAGGGACAAGGGGCAAGGCAGTTAACCTTTAAGAGCTTGTGTTTAAGCCTTGTAAATCCAGGCGTCGCGGGTTCGACCACCGCATAGCCCCACCCAGGGTTTTTTTTACAGTAAAAAACATTCAAAGTTCTCCGGGCAGCCGATAACTCTCAGATAGTGTTCTTCGACAAAGCCACGGAAACTACTAGAGCAAGAGGCAAAAACTATAATGTATCCTAGTCCAGTAGTACACCGGGAGGAGCACAGTTTGTGCGTTTCCTTTTTGTTTGCCTTTCGTCTGTACGTTAACTAAACTATCAAATCGTGAATCTGGTTTTGTTTTGGTATGTGTCACTCGAACGAAACCAACGGGATCGATTTCCCCCCTCCCGTCCTCCATCCAAGGCCGATACAGTCATACGTTACACCCTCGCGGGCTCTCTCTACGGACGCGCTGGGCAGGACGGACACGCACGCACGCACGCACGCACGCACGCACGCACGCACACACGCACGCACACACGAACACACGAACACAAGGCAGGTGGAGCCAGACAGCAGAGACAAAAATCCCAGAATGAAGGAAACGCCGCTGCAGCGCTAAACCAGTGTCGCTTCCTGTCTGGCCTCGGAGCTTTTCGCGGTTCCTATTCAATGACGGACCCACTCGACGAGTCAACAATAGGGGCTGGTCGTTCCTAAACAACGGGGGAGGACTCCTACGGCCGCGCACGATATCATTATATTCTTATAGCTGTGTTCGACCCAACGAAAGTTTTCAGAGTTTGGGCGATTTGTGTCCTGTTGACAACTTACTGCTTGTCTTTGACGCAGGGGAAAAATCGTCCTTTGTTTCCGACTTAAAGTTGATACTCGTGTGATCGCTTTTGGGGAAAACGATTTCGTGCTCGTGTGTGCAACATTGTGCTATTCGGCTTATTCAAGAATTTTGTAACTGAATTCCTAACTGTTGTGAATTTATTGTGATTTGTTCGAATTGCTATCCTGTGCGCTGTTTTGGATTTCACCAATCAAAAGATCTACCGTGATTTTTATTCACGTGAGGAAAAAGTGGGATCTCAAACCAAACAACACAGGCTTAAGCGTTTGGTTCTCCAGATTCTTCTTTATAGTTTCCCGTTAAGTTTACGAGTTTTTTCCTCGTTCGGCCGAGTATGGCTCCACTCTAACTCCGAGATTCCCCGGTCCAGGTGACAGAGACACGCTGTGAGGCTGTTGTTGGGTTGACAGAGGGGGTCACCGATGACATCACGCGTGTAGGTTGTACAAACGTAGTGGACCTTGTGTTTTAGGACCTTCTGGCTTGTGTGTGAGGGGGACGGAGCCTGCTGGTGTGACAACGCGGTCCACATAAAATTATATTTAATTCTCCGTGCTCTAATAGTCGTGATCTGCGCTCTTCTTTGTGCTTGTTTCAGAGAAATCTGTTTCTTAGAAGGAGTGTTTTATTTAAAGTTGTCCATTATTTACTCGTGCTTGATTTTTTGGAAATGTTATCTGCTGTGGAGTGGTTGTAAGAGGTTCAGTGAATTTTTTTCTTACCTTATGTGCGTGCGACACAAGTGTGAGTTTCATTGATTAATCTCTTATAAAGTGTCGAATTTCAAAATACACTGGATTTAGCCGTTTATTTTCAGTGAAAATTAAAAGTGTTTCTTACAGGTATGTATCTACTATTTTTTTTTATTATTCAAATTAAATAGTTTTCATTATTTTAAGAGAAAAAAGGGGGCGGAGTTATAGTTTTAGCGCACTCTTGTGCTTCAAATGGGATTCCGTATAGAGAGCTGGAATAAATAATACGTCCTTAAAAGCATCCACAAGCCCCAAACCTCAACCTGCAAAACAAAATCCCATTCTGCTTTCCAAGTAATTAGATTCGATGCGTCTGCGCAAAGGTTGGCGCATACACACAGACACTATTGTGATTTGTTTGTTTGTTGTTTATGTTTTGTTGTTGTTGTGTGGGTGTTTTTTTTGGGGGGATGGAGAGGGGGGATGAGTCACAAACTGTTTTCATGTATTTTCACGGGCCACTGTGAACTTGCGATGCTATAGATAATAGTGGCCTGCACACATGGTGCTTCTCAATTCAACACCATAATGATGATAATATCCAGTTATCGTGCAGTTTCGACGTTTGCGACTAACCGCAATGGTACACTTACTGTTTGCTCACAAAGCTGTTAATCTCTGCCGAACTCTCCCCCCCCCTCTCTCTCTCTCTCTTTCTCTCTCTCTCTCTCTCTTTCTCTCTCTCTCTCTCTCTCTCTCTCTCTCTTTCTTTCTCTCGCATCCACACACTCACATACACTCGACTGCACTCGCACACACACACATACAAACACACACACACACACAAACACACACGCACACACACACAAATACACACAAACAGACATGCACGATTGCATGCGCGAGTATGAGCACGAGCTTACAAACACATACGCGAGCTCACACAAATTAAATACTCACGTACTCTGGAGCAACCGCTCGATTACACACACTCACACACACGCTCTGTCACACACACACACACACACAC